AAGTTGTCTGGGCTGGTCTTGAACCCGCAGACTCAGGCAATCCACTCGCTTTGGCCTCCCAAAGTGCTGGGATTACGGGCTGAGCCACTGAGCCTGGCCACAAGTGAATTTTAAAAGGCCCTATGAACTGGGACTCCTCTACCCAATCCTGAGGCCCCTGCAGATCATGCTCACTCAACTGAGATACATGACTCCCTATTCACTTTTTATCAGTAGTCATAGATTTGAAAAATATAGTGCCCACGTAACCTTAAGCCTTGTAATTTGCATAACACTTTTGTGTTATTACTATTAATTTAAAATGTTCCATTTTATAATAAGTTCTGTCAACACCCTTACTCTATGGCAAGCTTGATCAACTTCTGTTTGGTGTCACTGATAAGAAGAAACTGTGAGCTGGCTCAGTGGTTCAGCCTGTAATCCTGCGCTTTGGGAGGCTGAGGTGAGTGGATTGCCTCAGCCTGTGGGTTCGAGACCCGCCTGGGAGACCTCATCTCTTGGGGAGATGTAGAGACCTCATTGTAGAGACCTCATCTCTACAATAAACCAAAAAATTAGCCGGGTGTGGTAGTACGTGCCTGTAGTTCCAGCTACTTGGAAGGCTGAGGCAGAAGATTACCAGAGCCCAGCAGGTCGAGGCTGCGGTGGCCAGGAGCAGCCACTGCACTCCAGTCTGGGTGACAGAGTGAGACTCCAACTCAAAAAAAAAAAAGAAACTGTGAACTACCCCTTATGGTAACCGGCACCAGGAAATGTAGACCATGCATATTACTACAGATAAAATGTGGCTGTAACTTAAGTTCTGTGTGATGCTCTGTCAGTCATAGAGTCAATGTATAGGTACCAGCAACCCTAAACTTATAAAAATGGACTGAGAGAAAAAAAAATGGACTGAGAAACCTAAGGGGCAAGCAGACTGGTTCCAGAAATACCAGAAGCCAAAGTCAGGTTCTGTCTCCCTGAATTCTGAATCCAGAAATAAACCTCTTTCTGCCAGTTCCCTGCCTCTCAGTTTACTGACATTGAGAGATGGCAGCTGAGCATTTACTTGGACTGTAACCTTAGTATTACCATAAAACACAGGTGGGTGAGGCAACTGCTATCTTAAAAACACAGGATCAAACTTCCAGACAAAGATGACAATTTGAACACCTGTATTTAGTACAGCTCTTTTTCCAAAAGCTCTCTGAAACCACAATAAAGGCATTTTTCTTAAAGGTATAAACTCAGAGGGAGAAAACAGCAAATTTTAAAAGCTGGACCACTGATAGACAATGGTACAGCAGGAATGAGAAAGAGAATACTAAATCAGTACTGGAAAAAGCTATCAAGCAACTAAGTAACCATCAAAAAACCTCCCAAAAGATTCACGACAGTGATATCCTGAACTGCAGAAAGTGAAGCCAGTCCACACAGGGTTAACAAGAATTCTGTACAGAAATACCATTACATGCCGGGCTCGGTGGCTCAGCCTGTAATCCCACGCCTTTGGGAGGCTGAGGTGAGTGGATTGCCTGAGCCCGCGGGTTCGAGACCTGCCTGGGCAGCGAGACCGCATCTGTACAATAAATCAAAAAAAAATCAGCCGGGCGTGGTAGCATGTGCCTGTAATTCCGGCTACTTGGAAGGCTGAGGCAGAAGGATCGCCAGAGCCCAGCAGGTCGAGGCTGTGGTGGCCGGGAGCGGCCACTGCACTCCAGTTTGGGGGACAGAGTGAGACTCCAACTCAAAAAATAAATAAATAAATATATATATATATATATATATATATATACATATATATATAGCTTTGTAAAGAAAATTTATACCAGGTCGAGCGCAGTGGCTCACACCTATAATCCCAGCACTTTGGGAGGCCAAGGTGAGACTGCCTGAGCCCACAGGTTCAAGACCAGTCTGGGCAACTTGGTGAGACCTCATCTCTACAATAAATCAAAACTTAGGTGTGGTGGCACGTGCCAGTAGTTCCAGTTACTTGGAAGGCACAGTGGAAAGATTGCCTGAGCCCAGCAGGCCGAGGCTGCGGTAGCCATGAGCATGCCACTGCCCTCCAGCCTGGGCGACAGAGTGAGACTCCAACTCAAAAAAATAAATAAATAAAATAATAGAAAATTTACATCTATTTAAAAAAAAAACTGCCAGGCGCGGTGACTCAGCCTGTCATCCCAGCACTTTGGGAGGCCAAGGCAAATAGATTGCTTGAGCCTGTGGGTTCAAGACCAACCCGGGCAACTTGGCACAACCTTATCTCTACAATAAATCAGAAAAATTAGCCAGGCATGGTAGCACATGCTTGTAGTTCCAGCTACTTGGAAGGCTAAAGTGGAAGAATCACTGGAGCTCAGCAGGTTGACACTGGTGTGGCCGTAAGCATGCCACTGCACTCCAAACTGGGTAACGGAGTGAGACTCCAACTCAAAAAAAAAAAAAAAAAAAAAAGATCCTTTCACATTCCTAAAGGAAATGCAAGAGAGCCTTTGCATCCCCACTGACAAACCAGATGATGGCACTTCATCCAGGAGTTTCAGAATTCCAACCTCATCCATGAAACCCTGTAATTTTAAACAAATGGGACCTATCCTCTTCAAATCCCTCAAATTACATTTGGTCTGCAAAATCCTCCTTTAGAAGATTTCAACCAAAAGGAGGGATATTTATTTTCAGAAAAGAAAAATCTGAAGGAAAACATCTTAAAAGCAGCCCAAGAAGGCTACAGGTTGAACATACAGGCTGCACAAACTAGGCCTGTGAACTAAAGCTGAACTCTAACCTGCAAAGCTGGAGCTTGTCAATATTTCACTGACACGTACTAATTGTAACCAGGCCTATGAAGCACAAAGGCAGGACAGAATGAATTATCTCTCTCCAGATGCTAAGGAGTCTACGTACTCGTACTCGTTGATTTTGTTGTCCTGTATACATTAACTGAGTATTTGCTTTACCTTATGTAAATGTCACAAAGCACCAGTCAAAATGGTAACAATGTCACCTTTGCTTCACTGGCCCCTTCCCCCATTTTCTACACAGACAGCAAAACACAGAAATACCGTGCCTCAAGTAACCTACTCTGAGATGCATACTTGATTTGCAATGAGTCTGTGTTCTGGGGTTACAGTCCTCAAACTTGGCTCAGAATAAAATTAACTTTAAGTCTATAGTGCCTGCTATTTTAACCTTTTGGATCAACCTAATGGAGAAAAATAAAAGGTAGCAAGAAAAGCATGTAGTTTTGAGATACTGGAACAAACATTTAACCAGTTAAAAGTTACATCCACCTAAAGAACAAGAAATGACAGTGGTTGGGTTGGGGAAGTATGGGAAATGTGCTTTTGGTTGTTTTTTTTTTTTTGAGTCAGAGTCCCACTCTGTCGCACAGGCTGGAGTGCAGTGGCACGCTCAAAGCCACCGCAGCTTTGACCTGGGCTCAGGCAATCCTTCCACCTCAGATGTCCAAGTAGCAGAAACTACAGGCGTGTGCTACCATGCCCGGCTTATTTTTTTGACTTATTATAGAGATTAGGTCTCACCAAGTTGCCCAGGCTGGTCTCGAACCCCTGAGCTCAGGCAATCCCTCTTGCCTCCCAAAGTGCTAGGATTATCAGCGTTAGCCACAGCACCCAGCATGCTTTTGTTTTTCTTCACTCCATGTGTAGATATAACTTTCTTCAGTCCATGTGTAGATATAACTTTAAAATAAACATCAGCCTGGCGCGGTAGCTCAAGCCTGTAATCCTAGTACTTTGGGAGGCTGAGGCAAGAGGATTGCTTGACTTAGGGGTTCGAGACCAGCCTGGGCAACTTGGCGAGACCTCATCTCTACAATAAATCAAAAAATAAGCTGGGTATGGTAGCACAGGTCTGTAGTTCCAGCTACTTGGAAGGCTGAGGCAGAAGGATCGCCTAAGCCCAGCAGGTCGAAGCTGCTGTGGCCATGAGCATGCCACTGCACTCCGGCCTGGGTGACACAGTGAGACTCCGACTCAAAAAAAAAAAGAAATAAACATCAACAACAAATAATTAACTAAGAAATAAAAATACTTGATAATCAAGTCACTTGGAAAAACCAGACACCTGCCTTCACAAAAGACTACGAAAATCCACTCCAAGCCACCCTAACTTTACAGTGTCTCCTCACGACAACAGGATTTCAAAGAAAAAAGAATCATATAAAACCACTTAGGCACTGTCATCATCACCCACCTTGATGAAGCTCCCCAAGAGAGTCAGCATTAAAGAGGCTCTGACATTATACACTGTCCTAACTCCCTGTTTCCCTGGAATCCTTGCCTCTACTCCCTGCCCTGTTGGGCTGTAGCCGCCTCTGGTTTAAAAGGAACATTAACTCTCCTCTCCCCTCACCAGGGCTGGCTGCAGGTTGCCAGCACGCTGTACCTCCGGGATTGGGAAGCTTTCCTAAGAAAACCTGGCTATCTAAGACTAAGTCCATGAAGTCTCAGGTGCACCAGCCACCCGTACGTCCAACCTGCTGCCCTGCTTGCTAGTGTCACCTTGACTCATGCAAGGAGATATGCCCTCCCTGCAATGGCCACCTTTATCTGAGCACCTCTCTGCTCTTACACCTCTCACAACCTACTCTTCTCTTATCTTTCCCAGTATTTAACTGGCTCCACTGCTTTCTTCCACCAGTTTCTACTATTTTATGATGAAAGAACATTAGATATGGCATCCAAATGCCACTCTTGCATTACTAACACATCACTTAATTTCTTTTAGCCTGATTTTTTTCCCCTGAAACACAAGGATAAGACCCCTTGAGGGGATGTTATCTCTGCATATTCCACAGTGCTCAAACAAGGCACTAAGATATCCACGGAGTGAGTACACACTTCCAAGGAGTAATCCTGGATCAGTGGACTCTCCTGCTCCTGGCTCTCTCCCCTAGAACCCTGAGGTGTACCCCAAGTCTCATGTCCCTGTCCTCAGGGAACCAGAAGATTCGGCACACTGTCAAGATGAGTGAGAACGGAAATCAAGCATACCTGGAAAGAAGTAGGAATGCAGACGAGGTTCAGATTCTCCTGCTTCACTCTTTCAGCTGTGGAGACAAAAGCCATAGCAGTGGTTTTTACTCCCCTTGCTTTATTTTTCTTGGCACGTGTGTATGTCAAATCCAACAGGAAAGGAGAGGCTAGCTGGGCTCGGTGGCTCAGCCTGTAATCCCGCGCCTTTGGGAGGCTGAGGTGAGTGGATTGCCTGAGCCTGCAGGTTCGAGACCCGCCTGGGCAGCAAGACCTCATCTCTACAATAAATCAAAAAAATCTGCTGGGCGTGGTGGCGCATGCCTGTAATTCTGGCTACTTGGAAGGCTGAGGCGGAAGGATCGCCGGAGCCCAGCAGGTCAAGGCTGTGGTGGCTGGGAGCGGCCACTGCACTCCAGTCTGGGCGACAGAGTGAGACTCCAACAACAACAACAAAATAAAACGAAAGGAGAGGCTGAGCTCCCACTGACAGCTGGTTTTCATTCTTGTCCCCATCCTTGGTGAAAAGGCAGGGACTGTGCTTCACACATTAGAAGACATGAGAAAGCCTGGGAAGGCAAGTACTAACCACAGAGAAGAGCATTGTCGGTGTCTGCTAGTGTTAGGTGCCTGGTAATATTCTAAGAACTTTGTATATATGAACCCTTTAAATCCTACCAACAAAAAAAGTTACAATTATTTTCCCCATATTACATATGAAGAACTGAGGCCCCAAAGTAACTTGGAGTTTCTCAGCTAATAAGCAGCAGAGCTGGAACAAGATCCTAGGCAGTCTCACGCCACTGTTTCAACCACCCCATATTATATGGTCTTGTCTACTGAAAACCTAGAACTTCCCTTTCCATTTTAGTGGAAATATATAATCATCTGTAGGCCCAGAGGGTGGATAAGGTGATTTATTTATTTATTTATTTATTTTTTTAGTTGGAGTCTCACTCTGTCACCCAGATTGGAGAGTGCAGCGCCGCTCCCGGTCACCGCAGCCTCGACCTGCTGGGCTCCAGCGATCCTTCCACCTCAGCCTTCCAACTACAGGTGTGTGCTACCATGCCCGGCTAAATTCTTGATTTATTGTAGAGATGAGGTCTCGCCAAGTTGCCCAGGCGGGTCTTGAACCTGCGGGCTCAGGCAATCCACTCACGTCAGCCTCCCAAAGCACAGGATTACAGGCTGAGCCACCAAGCCCGGCTGGGATGTATTTATTAGTTATCCATTTTTGGATTTGTACCTTTCAGAAAATTTGATTAAAAAAAAAAAAGGCTTAAGGAAAACTGTCTAATGAAAAATTCAAGTCTTTTTAATCTCTTAGTGTATCTTGGAAGATTTGGATGCCACTATTATAAAATCCAAAGTAAGGCCACATGCAGTGGCTCAAGCCTATAATCCTAGTACTTTGGGAGGTCGAGGCAAGAGGATTGCCTAAGCTCAGGGGTTCGAGACCAGGGCAACTTGACGAGACCTGCTCGCTACAATAAATCAAAAAAAGAATTAGCCGGGCATAGTGGTGTGCACCTGTAATTACAGCTACTTGGAAGGTTGAGGTGGAAGGATCACCTGAGTCCAACAAGTAGAGGCTGCAGTGGACGTGAGCATGCCACTCCAGCCTGGGCAGCAGAATGAGACACTGACTCAAAAAATAAATAAATAAATGTAAACTCCATTGTAATTCCTGTAGCCTAAAATTCTCCACACCACTTGATTAAGACAGAAAGGTCTGCAACACTTAAGCTCCTGTTTGGCCAGTGAGAAGGCTTCCAGAAGCCTTCCAGCACTATGACTACTCCTTAATCACAAAGTGTTCCTGGACTTTGTCTCTGGGCCCTGCCTCTTGGCACCTAGAAGAGATCAGCATTCAGGCAAGCCTCTTCTCTGAGCTTAGTTCTTAGGCGGTAAAACCTGTTGAGCAGCCACAGGACTGATTAACTCCTAAGCCTTTCCCAAAGAGCCTTAATCAGAGTGAAATAAGCACCTGCAAGAACCAGCCCCCAACCGCAAGAGGCCCACGTCCACTTCAGGGTAGCAGACCAGGCAAACCCCTCTGACCTCGGTGTGTCTGCCTAGGGAAGCCTGAGACCCCACACAGGAGCAGACCCTCAAGATGATTAAAAGTATGCTGGGACTCATGCTAAGCCGGCGCCCCTCCTCCCACTGAGCAGGGTAAGCAAAGGCAAGGCCACCCTCCAAAGTTGCTTGAAGAGGTCCACAAAAGAGCAGGAACACTCAGCTGACATCAGGCAGGCAGTCCTGGCTCCCCAGCTCTGCACCGCTGAAGCCAAGGGGCCAGTTCCACACCTGTACCCATCTCCGCCCCCTCCTCAACCTCCTGCTCCACCGTCACACACAAAGCATCCCGCAGACAGTCTGGGAACATACCTATTCGCTGCACAGCATGGACAATCGTCGAACCACTTCCAATCCCCAGCACTTGGTTGTTCTGCCAAAAAGGGGGAAGAAAACAACAAGACCTGTCAATACAGATTCTACCCCCTTATCAGCCCACTCCCCAGAGCCATAAAGAGCAAGTCATCAACACCTGCGCAAGGTGGGTCCTGTGCCTGTTTTGCAGAAAAAAACCACTGGCCGTCACAGCCAACTCTGTTCCAATGCCAGCAGTCAGTAAACCAAGAGGACCCTCCATTTCTGACACTGTCAACGTCACCACTTCCTCCATGCTTTCCAGCACACAAGACATGCTTTCCAGCACACAAGATGCGTTCAATCACCCACAGGTGTACAGCAACTTAAGCCACACTAACAAAAATGGCAAAGCCCAGGGCAGTAATCAGAAAGACAGGGAAAAACAACAGAGCCCAGGGAAAGGGGAAAAGTGAGAGTTTCTGGCGTCAGTGCCTTTTCACACGACCTTAACACCCAGAAGGCAGAGGACTGAGCACAGGTACCTTCATGGCATCATGGACACACCAGGCCCGCCATCTGGAGGACTCTCAAAGTCAGCAGAAGGGAGGGGCTGAAGTGAGTGCAAAATAGCACCTCGTGTCAGCATCTGTCCAGTGGATGCCGAGGGGTCCCTGTTTTGCAGCAGCCTCGCTCAGAGAGGTGGGAAGAGGGCAAAGCCTCAGCGAAGAGCCTGAGAAACGGCTTCACTCTGCAGCAGGAGGGGCCTGCAACACATGCAGAGCACTTGGACATGGATTGCACATGGACAGACAGCACAAATCCTAAGAAAGAGGCGTCCCGGGAGCACAACTGGGAAACTGCGGGGGGCCCTCACCTTACCAACAAGGGTACCTGCATAATGAACGTGTAGACCTATTTCTGAATTGTACCCCACATCTTCAAAATTAAAAGTTAAAAAAAGAAACAGGCGTCCTAATACTGAGCCCACCACCTTAAGAAAGGGAGGTGTCAGCCGAGCACAGTGACTCAAGCCTATAATCCTAGTACTTTGGGAGGCCGAGGTGAGAGGACTGCCTGAGCCCACGGGTTCGAGACCAGCCTGGGCAACTCGGTGAGACCTCATCTTTACAATAAATCAGAAAATTAGCTGGGTGTGGTAGCATGTGCCTATAGTTCCAGCTACTTGGAAGGCTGAGGTGAAAGAATTACCTGAGCCTAGCAGGTCGAGGGTGCAGTGGTCATGAGCACGCCACTGCACTCCAGTCTGGGCGACAGAGTGAGACTCCAACTCAAAAAAAAAAGGAAGTTGTCTGTGAGCATACCAGGGACAGAGTAGGGTCTCAGCGGAGTCAGTGAGACCTCAGAGTGCACAGCAGGGCCAGAGCTTCAACAATCAGGAGCTAATGTGGAGCTCAGTTCCTAAACAACTTCCCGAGATCCATCTCCTGCGGGTATAAAACAAATCAACTCAAAACCTCAGCTGCTGCTACCATGTATTAAGCACCTTATAAACGTTAACATAAACTCAAGTCTCCCAACAAACTCTTATGACCGAGAGACCTACCAGCCTTAGAGATGAATCCAACACCGTTAGGAAAACTTTAAGACTGATGTGAGCAAAAGAAATCACTGCCTATCCTTTTGATGAAAAGTAGGCACCAGCTTTAATCACCTGGTCCTACAAGGATGTGTGCCACTGTCGTCGATTAGATACACTTCAACTTGTAGAAAACTTGCAGAAAACTGTTAACAAGCCAGGTTCGGTGGCTCAGTCTGTAATCCCGTGCCTTTGGGAGGCTGAGGTGAGTGGACTGCCTAAGCCCGCGGGTTCGAGACCCGCCTCGGCAGCAAGACCTCATCTCTACAATAAATCAAAAATCAGCCGGGCGTGGTAGCGCATGCCTGCAATTCTGGCTACTCGGAAGACTGAGGCAGAAGGATTGCCGGAGCCCAGCAGGTCGAGGCTGCGGTGGCTGGGAGCGGCCACTGCACTCCAGTCTGGGCGACAGAGTGAGACTCCAACTCAAAAAAAGAAAACTGTTAACAAATCAAATTACTTTTTGTCCACAGAGAAGCAAGTAGTGTTCTATAAAATGCAACTGATTATTATCTTATAGAAAGACAGCTCTTGTAAATTCATTTTAACATTTCTGGACTACAGATTAATTTATGGTTCTTCGTCTTCTCCTGCTGCTGGGGTCTGAATGTCTGTCCCTGGGAAACGCATGTGGAAATTTAACTGCCATTATAACGACATTAAGAGGTGGGACCCCAATGGGTGGAATCTCTCTCTCACAAGATGCCAGCACTTTGATACTGGACCTCCTAGCCTTCAGAACTATTAGCCCAAAAATTTCTGTCATTATAAGTTAGTCAATCTCAGGTATTCCATTATAGCACCATAAAACGAACTGTGAACAGTTTCTAATACCTTTTCCAATTCCCTTGTCAATGTAGGGACCTAAATAAAAACTTTGGCATATGATCATTTTATGTGTACAATTATTTTACCTTTTTGAAAAAGTATCTTTTAATAATATCAGCTGCCGGGCTCGGTGGTTCAGCCTGTAATCCCAGCACTTTGGGAGGCTGAGGTGAGAGGATTGCCTGAGCCCGCGGGTTCGAGACTCGCCTGGGTAACTTGGCGAGACCTCATCTCTACAATAAAAAAAAAAAATCAGCTGGGCGTGGTAGTGCACACCTGTAGTTCCAGCTACTTGGAAGGTTGAGGCGGAAGGATCACTGGAGCCCACCAGGTCGAGGCTGCGGTGGCCGGGAGCGGCCACTGCACTCCAGTCTGGGTGACAGAGTGAGACTCCAACTCAAAAAACAAAACAAAACAAAACAAAAACAATATCAGCTGCGCATGGTGGTTCACAACTGTAATCCCAGCACTTTGGGAGGTGGAGGTGAGAGGATTACATGAGCCCAAGGGTTCCTGGGCAACATGGTGAGACCTTGTCTCTACAATAAATAAATTAATTAGCTGGGCGTAGTGGCACACGCCCATAGTTCCAGCTACTTGGAAGGCTGAAGTGGAAGGATCGCCTGAGCTCAGCAAGTGGAGGCTGCAGTGGTGTGAGACAGTAACTCAAAAAAAAAAAATCAACACCCCCACCCCCATGTACAAACTCACTCTGAATAAGCAACTTCAGGAAGTTCAACTTGCTGAAATATCATTTCGCTTCAAGTTTCTTAAGAGTTCGAATAACTGATTAACAACGCATTTGGCAAGAGAAAGCCCACAGCAAAACTGTCTTTGTAGGAAGAATAAAAGTGCTGGAGGTCCCTTGGGCCACACAAGGCCAGAGCTAAAATCCTTCAAGTCCCACAGGACAAAGGCCACAGGTATACACAAGGTCAGCCTGGGTCCCACAATTGATATGGTCCATCTCGAAATTAGACTATATTTGAAACTAGAAAAGATTAGAAAGAATGGTCAACAGGTAGAAAGAGTTAACCTAAAAAAAAAAATCAAATGCTAATGTCACCACAACCACACCTGTGTACACCAGAAATGCTTCTGTAGCTGGGCCTCTCCTACCTTCAGAAGACTTTACCCAGCGACTTCTCTGTTACTGGCCTGGTGAACACAAATCACCTGTACCAGCTCACGGTTCCAAAGTCCCTAAATACACCAAGGGGCTTGGGCCATCAGAGCAGAGCTCTTGCACTAGGTCAGGATTCCACCTGTGACAGCGCCCTCAAGAAGCAACGCAGCTAATAAAGTCATTTAGCTGCCTGGGCAAACGCCAAAGGCAAGGTACGTAACAATACAAAAAACATCCAAAATGGCTAAACATATAAAAATCTTCAAGTAATGAGAAAATGGCCTGACTTACCAACACCTAGGTCCGAGTGTGGAAAAATTCAAACTGTCTTTGCTCTCAAGTCACAGCCAAAATCAACACAGAAGACTTCTGAGACAAAAGTGTAAGGATTTCTTTCTCTCCACACACCAAGCAAGCAATCACTTCTACAGCAAACACTTGCTGGGTATCCTCCAATTCAATCCCAACACTACCCACGTAGAAAGAGCATCAGGTCCCACGGGTTGAGGGTTCAGTCCCACGAGGCTGCCCCCTCCTTTGTCCAGTCACACATCTGGGCCTCTGGAACTTCTTACCAACTGATTCCAAGTTGGGGTTCCCACACCCTGCTCTTTGGGTTCGATTAATTTGCTAGAGTGGCTCACAGAACTCTGGAAAACACATTTATAGGTTTTTACAAAAATATCACCAAAGATACAGACGAAGAGATGCACAGGGCAAGGCATGCAGGAAGGGGACACAGAGCCTCTATGCGCTCTCCAGGGGCACTGCCCCCCAGGGATCTTCACATGTTCCTTTATCTGGAAGACTCCCAAACTCTGTCTTCACTGGCCAGGCACGATGAACAACCTAGGCATGACTGGCTGCTGAAAGAGACTAGATGTTGCATGAGCCTAGAAATACAACTGGACAAAAACAGGAAGATCTAATACCAATAGATGAAATGGGGAAACTCAGAAGAGCTGGTCTATCTAGATTTTTCTTGGCTTCTCTGCACAGCACTCCTTCCTCCGGGGTATGGGGCAAGACTCATTCTGAAAGAAGGATCTTATGACCTATGACCAGACAAGTTAAGTCAGAATCGTTCTTTATGACCAGCTCCAGGAGAAAGATGAGGGAGAAATCCTGCCTCGGGGAAAGCAAGGAACAGGTGAGAAGAGGGCAAGAGAAGGTCAGATAGAGAGAAAGAGATTCTATTTTCTGAAGCCTAACACGTCCCAATATTATAAGGAAAGACTGGCTGGCTTGGCCTAGGAGGGCACATTTACACGTGTGTGTGTGTACATATATATTCACATATAAAATAATGCCAAACTAGGTGGACTTAACCTGACTTCACACTTGAGCTGAAGCTGGAGACTCCAGCCATACAGTAATTCGATCACCAAATTCTCCAACTTAACTGTCAGACTGTGCATGTGCAACATCAGGCTTCCCTCAGTCTGTCCAACGGAGCAACTCTGGAAGTACGGCTTCTGCTGACTCACTGGGACCACTGCCCATCAGCTTCCTCAAACTAAATCAGCCAAAAGAGAGACTCAGGCTCCTAAGAGAACCACGTGGTTAGGCTACAGACCTTCGGGTGAGCACAGTCCTGCATGGTGGCCCATCCTGGGTGGTGACACCCCCGAAGCAGGCAGGGCTGGGCCGAGGGTGGTTGTGCAAAGGATTCAGCTGAAAACTCTCCAGGCTCTCCACCCACCTGCAGAGAGAAGTGGGCCCCACCCTGGGACACCACCAACAGGGAGGGACAGGAAATCCTACTCCCTGGGATTAGGAGCAACGGGCTTCCAATAACCCCACTGCCCCCATACTTGTGTTCACACTGCACAAAATTCAACAAACAGCTACTGGGCAGGCCCCACTGTGGCCAATGCTAAACACAGATAAGGGTAACGACGCTCCAGGAGCTTATCCTTTTTTTTTTTTTTTTGAGTTGGAGTCTCACTCTGCCGCCCAGACTGGAGTGCAGTGGCTACTCCTGGCCACCGCAGCCTCGACCTGCTGGGCTTCGGCGATCCTTCTGCCTCAGCCTTCCAAGTAGCTGGAACTACAGGCACGCGCTACCACGCCCGGCTAATTTTTTTGATTTATTGCAGCGATGGAGGGGGGTTCTCACCAAGTTGCCCAGGCAGGTCTCGAACCCGTGGGCTCAGGCAATTCACTTGCCTCGGCTTCCCAAAGCGCGTTATTACAGGCTGAGCCACCGAGCTTTAAGGGACTGGAAGATGCCGGGCGCAGTGGCTCACGCCTATAATCCCAGCACTTTGGGAGGCGGAGGTGAGAGGACTGCCTGAGTTCCAGACCAGCCTGGACAACCTGGCGAGATCTCATCTGTACAATAAAACAAAAAATCAGCCAGGTGTGGTGGCGCATGCCTGTAGTTCCAGCTAGTTGGAAGGCTGAGGCGGAAGGATCGCTGGAGCTCAGCAGGTCGAGGCTGCGGGGGCCGGA